CCAGACTGTGGGGGCGATATGCTGACTCTGTAAACCGCTTAGAGAGGGCTGAAAGCCCTATGAAGCGGTATATAAGTCTAACTGCTATTGTTATTATTTCATGGAAGAAGGCCCCGGCTGGGACGTTGGAGAGGCCCATTGGCATCAGTGTGAAAGATAGCAATGTAAAGAAGGCCTCATCCGGTACAGTCATTGGTTTGCCATGTAGCGGGCATGGTGGCAAGCAGGGATAGGCGGTGGAGGCAGCTGGCAGCAGCAGGTAGGCACAGGGCCAAAACGTTGCAGGTGCCCCCAAGGGGGCCCACATTTTGTTCATGTGACTGCAGGAGGCAGGAACTATAGAGGACGGCTGTAAGTCCCTTTGTTCAACGCCATCGTAATTTCAAACAGTCGCTGAACAAATGGACATTAACCAAGGACTACCTTAGTCAACATCATCCGACATGGGAGATGGGGGAGTGAGATTCTTCTTTCACCCGATAAGCTCTCCTACATCAAAGGTAGGGTAGGGTTTGTAATCTCCTATACTAAAGCAGTAAAAACCCACAACACAATTTAGGGGGGGAAAATTGGCAGTTTTCATAAGAAATTAACACAACTTGCAAAATCCGTTGCTCCAAGCATTTACTTCGCTTGTTTGCCTTGATACCTCTGGCCTGAAAAGATTTAGCAGGAGGCCAAAACCTTCCTATCTGGCAATGGGTCCTTCAACTTCACCCCACCAAGATACCCAAAAACCTTTTTCTGAAAGAAAGCTTGCTGGACTAAGTGGAGAATATTATCTGCTATCCTATCTGCCTATCCTTCTTAACCTTGTAACTCTCAGGGCCATATTATCAACACACTTTCCACTCTGAACAGTAAGAAGAAAATCCAATGAGGTAACATGGATATTGGCTTCAAAGTTGTGGCATTTGCTTAGTAACTCAACAAATCAGAAGTAAGTGTAATGCAGAAAAAGGGGATTCAACGCGTTGAGGTTGTATTAAAAACCACGCTTCAAGGCGCTAGTCGTCACTTATAAAGCCCTTCATGGTATTGGACCTGGGTACTTGAGAGACCGCCTGCTGCCAATGACCTCCACTAGACCGATCAGATCCCACAGATTAGGCCTCCTCCGAATTCCATCCGCCGGCCAGTGTCGACTGGCGACTACCCGGAGGAGAACCTTCTCTGTGGCTGCTCCGGCCCTCTGGAACGAGCTCCCCGTGGAGATTCGCCCCCTCCCCTCCCTCCAGGCCTTCCG